CCAAGGTTAGGCAAGCCATTTACCTCGAACCAAGCTCAATCAATCAGTAAGAATGCTCTTTCCTCGATTATCTGACTCCGAATGACCCAAATCTAGCCAAAATAATTACATATCATAAATACAACTATAATAGACTAATCTAATTAACGAAATCAAGACTTTAACAAAACTTTCAAAATTCGTCCTAAAAGGTCGACCCGTGCCCACATCTCTGAATCGGGCAAAAATTACAAAATTCGAAGGCCTATTCACTCACGAGTCCAACCATACTAGATTTATCAAAATCTGACCTCGAATGACCACTCAAAACCTAAAATCAACTTCTTTAAATCCCTAGCCTCAAACTCCCAAATTCCACCTTAAAAGCACACTAACTAGGTGAAAAAATAAATGGGGAAGCAAGATTATTAATCAAAAATAAGCACAAGGGACTTACACGAAATCCCTCAAAAATGCTCTCAAAAAATCGCCAAAGCCGGGCTCAAAATGATGAAATGAAGCCAATTTCGCGAAGTCTCGCATTTAAGGACTCTGCCCAGGCCTTCCGCACCTGCGGCAACTTGGCCTCTTTTACGGTCTTGCAGGTGCGCCCCTTGTCCGCTTCTGCGCCGACCACATGTGCTGAAAATCCCCCACATCAGTGTCTTTGCCCGCATCTGCGCGCCTGTGTGCACTTCTGCGCAAGCCGCTTCTGCGCGTGAATGGCCGCATCTGCGGCCTCTGCCCAAGGCCTCCCTGGCCACTTCTGCGGTCCATTTTCTCGCTTTTGTGAGCACGCATCTGCGGTCCCCAATCCGCAGATGCGATTACACCAGCAGTTGCAAACCTTCAACCATTCTACAACTTCGAACCTTGGTCCGTTAACCACCTGAAATCAACCCGAGTCCCCCGGGACCTCAACCAAACATACCAATAAGTCTCATAATATTATACGAACTTAATCATCTAAATCAGCTACAGACCTCAAATTCACAGACCATATATGCTCCTAAGTCCAAAATCAGCCAACGGAGTTAACGGAACCAACGAAACTCCAATCCGGAGTCGTCTTCACACAATTCTAATTACGGTAAAAAATCCTAAGATTTAAGCTTCCGTTTAGGGACTAAGTGTCCCAAAAATTACTCTAAAACCACAACAACCCCCCAGTAAGTCACATAAGCAGAAAAAGGTACGGAAAAAATAGTAAATAAGGGATCAGAGCTAATACACTCAAAATGAACAGCCATGTCGTTACTGGTTTCAACTTTTTTTTCCAGAGATGAGATGTGTATGAATGAGGGAATAAGATGAGAGATAGTGAATGCAGATTAATGAATGAGAAAGAGTCTGTCAATTGCCTCTATATGCAGAATGTGAGTGTGCTATTATAAAGAATATTCTCACAGTTGTGTTTCAGTTATTTTCTTTATTTTCAGTCCTTTTATGTTCTGTTTATTACCCGACCTCTCCCAATTTTATTGCTAATAAATTCTTTTCAACTCTTCGAGAAAGTTCATGTCAGTTACATCAAGATTCCCTAAGTTTTCTTATTTCCTTTAGATCCCTCAAGTCCTTGTTAATACCCTTCTTTTAACTCATCATTTTACTATCCTCTACCCAAAATTACTGTCCTCTTTCTCTTATCAGAACCAAACGTTTAACACACAACAATTAACTAAACTGAATTAACAGTAAGCTAACAAACATAGGATAAACATGACTCAACAACTGATTAAACAAGTTGATTAAGTAGATATGCAGTTCAAACCAACAAAGTAATTATCAATTGACCAAACTTCAGATTCAATGCAACAAATAGTTACTCAGAAAGTTTAAACAATTTACTAGTGATTAACTATTAACCTAAGCATAGTGTCAAGAAAAATTCAGAATTAACTAACGATTAACAAATTAAATATGGGATCATCAAATCCAGGGAATGAAAAGAAGAAGAAAAAGATTACCAGTAGAAGACAACATCGTCGGCGCTCAAACGGAACTTCGGCGGGCAAAGATTATTGCTATACGAGCATTGGCCGGAGTTTAATCATTTTTGGGCGACATATAGCAATAGCCTCCGCGAGCCGCATAGAAGGAGGAAAATGGTGACCGGAGAGGTCTGGCCGGTCAACAGATTTTGACTAACCTCCAATGAACGTGAAATGCAATTATCATGTAATTAAAATACTTAAAAATGTAAAAGCAAAAAATGCAAAATATTTTTGTTATTTTTATGATTTTAGAATGCCCCTTAATGATGCAAAAAAAAATTCAATCAAATACACAAATAAAATTCCTAAGCTCTACAAAAATTATTAAAACTATTTCGGAACATTTTTAGGTGTAATTATGCAGAGGACAAAAATTACGTGCTCACAATGTTGATTGTAACTTCCGGTGAAAGCGGTCTAATTTAGTTTGTGTTGGACCTTTTGTGACCTTTTTATGTTTGATATACTGTGTATTCATGATAAATAAACCTAGGTTAGATGGTTGAGTTGTTTCACTAGATGCTGTTGAATGAAGACAGATTTTTCATGTTAGCATGTCTCAGGTACAGTCAAATGTGCGAAATGCCTGTTTCTGTTAGGTATACGTTGATATAGATGAATGGTTTAACTCTGTTTATGTTTAAATATAATTCTCTAAGTGTCTGAATAGAGGTTCAATGATTTGCTCCCTTGCTTTAATTCTCTTTGTTTAGTCTTCTAATTCAGTTCTCGGTGCTTATTTGGTTGAGTTCTCTAATAGATAACTTCTGTGGCCTAAGTTGAAAATTGAAACTCAGTGGACTGACAGAAAGAATAGGTTAGAGAAATTCTCAGCCGGTCCTTTAATTTTAACATGCCTAGGACTTGTCCACTTGCTTTTTTATATAAGTAATCATAGTTGATATTGTACTTCCATATTTTTAAGTACATTGTCTTGATGTATTTAGCTTGCATTGTAAAATTTGTATCTTCTTGATGCCTTCTATGAAAGTCTTCATCAAAGAAAAGTACTGTTGCATACTTCCTTGCTTGATTGGATTACTAGTAATTCCTTGACTTATTTTCCATATCACCGGTTCAATTTGCAGGAATTGGAAGCCTGGACTTACAAGCGTCCCGAAATGGGTATGCCGCCTTTAGCAAAGAAATTGTGAACCGCCCTGACCAAGTCGTCAACATAAGTATTCCGACAGTGATAATAAAAAAGACTTGGGAATCAAAAAATTGAAAGGATAGGGGAGTCACAATCCCAACCAAGGGAGTGGTTTCGTACTTGGTAGCTAGCCTTTCGCTTCCTCCTTGTACTAGATTTTGACTTGAATTCCCTTGAAAGCGAGAACGCACTATATGCCTTTGTCTTGATTTGAAGTAAAAGGAATAGCAGGGGTATGTTAATTCAAGTTATCCAAGTTCAGTATAAATTACTTGTCATTTTGCGTTGTCCTGAGCAACCACGCCTCCAATTCAGCAACTTTTGCTATTGAAATCACCAATTGCATTTCCATTAGAACTGCCACCTCAGAATTTGCCCTAAGCAAGCTATTGTATCCATCTTTTCTCTATGAACTATGGATTTAGGTTTAAGTAAAGCATCACATCTCGTCTCTTATTAGACTTAGAAAGCCTCAAAGTAATCTTAATTCTTTCTGTTGGAAATTCCTCTGCTATTTTAGGCTGTTAGTGCGATGTTATGTTTTTCATAGACGGTGTATTCTTTGTCTTTTGGATGTTTTGTTCAATTTGGGATGCACACTCATTGTAAGTTTTCGCTTTCAGGCACAACTTTCTTGGAACTATGAACCTGAATATAGCAAAATAAATATAGATAGATGTTTCATATAGCTAACCCAAATGAGGTGTAATTCATTGATTATTTAAACAGCATTTTAAATTCTTATTATGCTGATCCTGTCCTTGCCATAAACGATGATAGTTTGAGGTTGCAAAAGAATACTAGCAAGTTAAAGTGGAGCTTTGATCTTTTGGACATAAATTTTGTGTGGGAAAAGAGTGAAAATTTGTGATCGGAAACAGTTATTTCAACTTGAAATGTTACTATTAATCAAGTTTTTTCAATATTTCACAAGTATTTCGAATAGTAAAACTAAGTAATCAAGTTCTATGCATCACTCCTAGGGATCAAGATTATGTGATGTGCAGAGTAAATTTTACCACTAGTAAAGAAGCAGAAAATTAAAGAGTAATCAAAACTTTAACTACTTATTCATAGCTCATAAAATATAATACATCTTATGATACATTTAAACACGTTGCTGGTTCCTATAACTTTTCATATCTAAACCTCTAGTTGTAAACAGATTTTGTAGTTTAATCTATAGTTTGAATTTCAGGATCCCTCTTTAGGGCTTAGGCTTGTTTTGAGTATATATGTAATCCAAGTGAGCTTCAGCTACAATCCTTCTGTTTAAACAAGCTTCATCTCTGTCTTCACATTTCTCCAATCCCATGAGCTGTTCAAGAACCAGAAAAGACAACAAGAAAACAAATATTAAAAAAAGGAAGATTTTCCATTTACGCTAAATTAATACTGACGAAATTAATTAACGCAAAACCAAAATTGAAATTGAAAAAGGAAAGAAAAGATAAGGATTTACATTGTTGAAGTCTTCTTGCGTGGAAATTGAATGAGTAATCCCATTAACTTCAGCTTTCTTGATATCTGTGAAAATCATTAGTATTATTAATGGGAATTTCTCCGTAGAAGCTCCATACTTGGAGTTTTGCAAGCTTCACAAACACAAATAAAGAGAGTTCATTAGTATTATTAATGGGAATTTCTCCGTAGAAGCTCCATACTTGGAGTTTTGCAAGCTTCACAAACACAAATAAAGAGAGTTCATTAGTATTATTAATGGGAATTTCTCCGTAGAAGCTCCATACTTGGAGTTTTGCAAGCTTCACAAACACAAATAAAGAGAGTTCATTAGTATTATTAATGGGAATTTCTCCGTAGAAGCTCCATACTTGGAGTTTTGCAAGCTTCACAAACACAAATAAAGAGAGTTCATTAGTATTATTAATNCATTCCATACCTCGATAACTTGTAGGCAGCAGACGAGCAGATGTTACATAGGAAATGATCAGTAATATGAAAAAAGAAGTAAGAAATTGATCATTTGTTAGCTTCATTGTATGTGAGATTTGAGAGAAAGAAATGAGAGAAAGGGTCGATGGAGAGAGGTATAGAGCAGTTGGAGTTGTATAAATACTACTCAAAATTATTCATTCCGTTCACTTTTATTTGTCCGCTATACTAAATCAAGCCCGTTATACTAAATCAAGAGAATGACAATTTTTTTTCATGTTTTATCCTTATAATTAATTACTCATTTCCAAATCATTTCTCAAGACTTTTAAAAATATTAACATTATTACGAGTAAAATTCATATTTCATTTATTATTTTTTAAGGGGCATAAAAAGTCCAAAGTGGACAACTAAACGTGAACGGAGCGGAGAGAATGCCACAAAAAAGTTGGCCAAAAGCCAAGAGTCACGTGAAGAAAAGAGGAATCCATTACTCAAATGATCACTCAATTATCCCAAATTATGTGCTAAAGTCATTTTTCTTTCTTTTGTAACAACAAAGTCACTTAACTATGCCTATATCATTCAGAAGTTCACTCAACCAGATTTTCCAAATTTTGGATTGTCAAATACCTATTTTACCCTATAAATTATAAACATTTATCTTCTTTTTATTTTTTTAACTTTTTAATATTATGATTTTTTCCTTTTTAATTTATATTATGGATTTACCTATATAATAAATAAATTTTATTTATAAATTTAAAAAATAAAAAGTATTTAAGCATATATAATGCTGAAATGACAAAATAATGAGCATAGTAAAAAAATTAATTAGAATAATTTGTTCGTAATAATTTTAGTATTAACAAAAAAAATTAAAAAAATTATTTACACAATTGAGAATGAAAGAAAATAAAGGTTGTAAAATATATATTCCATGCACGTAATATAAAAATAATTATTTAAATAAAGGTATTTTTATAATATACATTATATATGGTTGAAAATTATGCTCAATTATATTATTATTCCGTCATTATATGAGCTGAAAACTACTTTTTATTTTTTATTTTATAAATAAAATATATTTTTCTATAGGTAAGTCCACAATGTAGATTAAAAAGAGAAAAAAACTTATAATATTTAAAAAATTAAAAAAATAATAATTTAGAGGGTAAAATAGGTACTGATAATAAAAAATTTAAAAAATCTAGTTGAGTGACCTTCTGAGTGTAATATGTATAGTTAAGTGACTTTATTGTTACAAACGGAGAAAAAGTGACTTTAGCAGAAAAGAGTGAAAACCGCTTATGTTATTTAATCAGTTATTATGCCGTTTATGACCTATACTCAAACTCAAGATTCAAGAAGATAGTACTTCTTATTGTTAATTACATTTTTGTCTTTTGATATACTACTATAATAATGTGAACAGTATAAGCCGTCTATCCACTCCTAACGTTAATACATTGTCTTTAGTACAATTTGGATCATATTATGAGTTCATCATTTTGAGTTTGGCTTCCATTTCCTTTTTAAATCTTTTTTAAAAAAAAGAAGTAAATAATGATATCACTTTCGTAACAAAATAAAATGCATCTATTCAAGAAGAAAAAGTATGAGTAAAATAAGAATGAAGAATGGTCATACAATGCCGGCTCAAGGGCCAAGCGACCCCCAAGTTTCTAAGGCTCCATTTGTTTTATAATAGCAAAAATAGGTTAATCTATNTATATATATATATATAAGAATTAATTAATCAATGTGATTGATGGTGACCGGTGATTAATTTATAGTCTTAATATTAATATTTTTTTCTATCTCATAATAGAACTGTATTTTAAATTCTCCTTCTTCATTACTAAATTGTCTATTTTCTAAACAATATGAATGAAAGGCATTGAATAAATTAAAATTGCACTTTTCGTTCTTTCTCTGGTTCTCAAGCATTGCAACAAACAAATTAAAATTATTGAAATTTCATTCTAATATCAAGTTATCAACATTTAGAATCAGGTTCGATTATTCTAACTTGCTAATATCTTTTTCTTTGAATTTCAAATTTATTTTTTGTATCTTTACCTATAGTAGTATATTGCTTTTTTTTTTTTTAATCATAATTTAAATATGTCAACTATAAAGATAAATTAGGTTACTTAATATGATATGTTTTTTTAAAGTTTAAGGCCTCTTAATATTGGTAAAAAAATGCCTCTTAATAAACTTTGGCTTTAGGCCCATGCTGTTCTTGAGCCGGCCTCTTTGTCATATTTTAACTAATTCTATAAAGGGAGTAAGCTAATTAGACATAATGAAGCTTGGCTACCGTTTTTTTTCCTCCCAAATTAGGAAGATCTATAGTGTTTTCACACTTTCTCTCTAGCGTGACTCAAACTCAGGACCTAACAATCGTGAGTGAAGGTGCTTTTACCAACTGAGTAAGTCTACCGGTTGACAAGTCAAATTGAAGGTGTCGAGAATTGAGATCAAGTCTCATGTCTAAATCTCATTGAATTGTGGATTTGCGTCCAAATAACATGTTTCGCTAGAGCATTATAAATTTGTGTTAGTTGATTGTTAAATTATATATTAATATTTTTTTGCTTGATACTCCCTCTCATATTTTCATATTACTAAAAATAGTTATCTTCATTATTTGTCATTTTAAAAGTTTAATATAAATTTTATTTTTTACCATTGATAATAATTATCCTTGAATATTACAAACACCTTAATTATGGATAACTTTGTTCAAATACCAATAAAAAAAGATTAAATATTAAAATATGAATAAGAGTAAAGTAATCAAAATCTCATCCTAATTAATTTTTATTAAGGGGCGTATACAAAATAATTATTACAGATAATTTGAGACGGATTGAGTATAAACCACTGACTAGTCAAAGCTTTGTAGTTAGGCATGGTCGACGGTAAGCTGGTTTCCGGTTTTCACATGTCCAAATAGAGTTACCCTACCTATTTCTCCTTAAATGCCTCCATTTCCT